TCAAAAATATAAAGAACATTATTATTTAGTTTATTATCTTAAGAAGAAAATGTCTCTTTATGTTTGAGAAGACACATTGTGGCTTAAATTCAGTTAAAAGGAACAGAGTTTTGTCTCTCTGAAGGAGGTCTTATGAGACCAAAGACAGGTGGAACGGTTTATTCCAACTGGACGTGACCGCTACGTTGTACAGAGCACAACAAAATTACACTTCTGAACATCCCATCCAAGAGAGACAAACACACACAAACATAGGAAAACAGGTGCCCTGGGTCCTGCAGCCATAAACCTCTGCACAGAGCCAGGATCATGAGGAGACGCTACCCTTAAAGAATAAAAAAATAAATCCCACATGAGGATAAGTGAGTATAAAAAGAGAACATTGTGTGTCCACTCAAGATACACTATGAAAAAACCTCTGCACAGAGTGCAGATCGAGGTGTGTGTGTTTGTGTGTATTTGTTTAGGGAGGTGTGTATCTGGAGCCATGAAGTATTGTAGGCACACGTGTGAACATCTGTAAAATGTAACGTGTGTTACCAGAACAGCCCTGCACAGCTGTAGACTCACAATCATGATGTCATTGTTCTGTGCAGCCTGCGACTTTGTTCACACCTGTTCACACCTGTTCACACCTGTTCACACACGGCAGTGGGAGGAGGGAAAGGTGGGCAGAGCATCTGTTCACCAGTGGTGGACAAAGTACTCAACTCTAGTACTTGAGTATTGATACTCAGGGTCAAATCTACTCAGTTTAAAGTACTGAAGTACTTTTAAAAATACTCAAGTATTGAAAAGTACAAATTAAATTCTCTAGTATCAGCACATTGCTGTATTGTTTTCAGAGTGAACCTTGTAACTCAGAAACACCTGATGTATCGACAGGTAGACCCACTCTGAGACAAATTCACCACCTGTAAAGACTTCAGCACAAACATAAAATAAAGTGAGCCGTGACTTCTTAAATACAGAAATGTTTAGTTTATCTGTGGTGAACACAGAAGACATTTAAACTGATACAAACTATATTTCAGTCCTAAAATCTCAAACATTGAGCTGAGAAATGGTCAAGATGGTTTCTCTGTCTCCACTACTGGTTCTGGAACTGGTAACAAGAAGCTTTCTAAATGTACTGGAGCCAAAAGTACAACATTTGTCTTTGAAATGTACTGGAGTGAAAGTCACGCCCCCCC